CCTAGCCTGTGGGAGATTTTAGCCAATCACAGGTCAGTTCAGAGAGAGAGCATTCCTATTGGCTGTTCTACAAATGGAGATATTAATGCACGTTCCTTCAGATGATGAAAGCCTGAGTCATTGGCTGAGAATCCTGCAGCGAAAGTTGCTGTTTAAGCACTGTCAACAAAACCTGGTCTCACTCCAAAGTCGTCAACAAGATGGTGCTTGGGCAGTAACTACTGGCGTCAGACAAGAGAAAGTCATCCTTATATGTCAGCATGATATGTCGCCATTATTGTTTAATGGTGCCCAGGAGCATGAGGGGGAAACGCGGCAGGACGGCAACGGAAGTTGAGGCAGCTGAAGTCTGAGTAGTGCAGGCAGGAGGGTGGATGGGTCCAACAACCTCCGATGTTCGCCCGGGAGTTCACTTCCTGTTTGAACCCAAAGCCAAACCCTGTTCTTTTTTACTAAACCCAACAACATGCATTTGTTGAATGGAAAAAACACCAATTTGCGCTGTTGTGCTGATGTAGTGCCTTTATTTTGAAAGAGACTGTATGCAAACTGTACATTTCCTGTGAAAACAGAAGTGTATTTTGAAAACAGACAATGCATGTAACAGGCTGAAGTTGACATGGTGTCCCGGAACGTCAACAACCAACACACTGGGTGTGTACCTTGCACGTCATATGTCGACATGGAAAGTCCATGAGCAAACGTCAATAACTGCCACCCGCCCCACTTGGACTTCTGCCCCCTTAAAGGGATAGTTCGACATTTTGGCAAATGGAGCTGAAATGGAGGTGAATGGTACAGCTCCCTCTCTCCCTCAAAACTAATCAAATACATTTCAGCGGGCAGCTCTGCCCCACCGATCTCAGAACAGCAGGCACTGACAATTAAAGGTGATGTACCTACTCACATGACTATAGGGATTACGGCAATAGGTGAATTTGCCAAAATGTTGAACTATCCCTTTAACTTTAGTTGTTGTCCCGCTACATTTCCTGCTCACGCCACTGTTAAACAATAACAGCGACTAGCCACATATCATGCCAACGTGAAAGGACTAAGCGCTGGTTTTCAACGACTTCAGAGTGAGATCAAGTTGGATGCTAGGGGGGAGCGCTGGTCAAAGTCGATCTGCTGCCCACTCTCCTCACAGCGAGGCAGTCCAGCTGTGGGGATCAAGGCTGATTTTAGAATTTTGCCGTCCATCCCCCTTTTTGCGAATCAGCATTTTTTCGAATCAACCAAAACCCGGCTAAAGCGAGCGTATTTTAGTTTGTGCGAATCAGGAGATTTTAATTCGAAATTTTGGCGTTTCCATCTTAATTTTCCGATGCAATACTTCTAGATGTGCATCTAAACAGGCTGATGGAAACATGGCTAGTGAGGACAGCTGAGGGAGTAATGGGATATATTGGCAATAAGTGAGCCAGCAGTGTCTCTCCTCAAGATGGCGAATGTTTTTGAAAGCATTCATCTCCAGGATGTCCTCGTCTCTCGTAGAATAAACAGCATCCTCTCTTTTGCCAATTAATACATCACTGGACCATCAGCTCACACCCCCATCATGTCTCACTGTCCCTTTTAACCTCCCTTCCTCTTTTCCTCTCCTCCCTCCTCTTGATGTGTTGAATCTTATTAGCACCATTTGCCATCACAACACACTGTCAGCCGCTCGGTTCATCGACTTGCTTATGCTTATACAGCTCCTGCCACTGCCCCACAAAACAAACACACACACCCCGCCTCTGTACGTTTGTCACACCGGCCTTCCTCTCTTTTAATTGGTGCTCGTTAGAGGAAAAAAAAAATGCTGTTTTTGCTCCATTTTCACCCAAATAAGCAGGAGGGGGGAGACGTCTATGAAAATGTTAATTGATAGCGGATCAAGGAGAACACTGGCAATTAGTGAAGGCTGATAGATGAGCAAGGCACGGCACTGGAGACTTTGATGACTATAAGATCTCTACACACACACACACACACACACACTCTCTGTGTACACACATAAATACACGTCTGGTTAGCCAGCAGGGCCGTGTGGACGAGGGCCGCTGTTAGATTCAGGCCAAGCAGGAAGTGAGACTGTTAATGGGGTTGTGTGCTTGTAGTTTGCATAAACACACACACACATACACACACACACACAGAATAGACGTAAAAACAAACATTCATATCAGCCGACACACAGGTACAGACTAAAAAATGTGCTGTGGGGATATCTAGTAGTTTGGAGAAAACATCATTATGCTGCTGTCTCTCCGGCTCCGTCTCTTTATTTCGTGGAGGCGCCGCGGCCCAGTCACAGAGCTGAGCTGCTTTGTTTTGAGATGATATGATCTGTGGGGGTATTCTGCGTCTGCTGCGTGTTACCTGACGGGATTTTTGAGGCTGATATAGACACTGATATTTGAGAGTGGAACTGATATGATTTTGATGAATCATTTTGTTGACACAAACATACAACAAACAAGTATCTTTGGCGAGGGTTTCCCCGAGGCTGGATCATCAGCTAAGCAAAGCAGGCAGCTGCCTCAGTGACCCAAACCTTAAAGCCTCAGGTTCATTGTCAGTAATTGGCCGCAAGTAATTAGTTTAATTGCAGCTGTGTCAGAGAATAAAGTGCCTCTAAAGTACAATACCGACTGAAGCAGGTTCTGTTAGTGGCTAGTTTTATGGTTTTATGACAGCCCAATTGCATTTCTGTACATTTCTGCAAAGATAGCTTCTCTTTTACCTTGTCGATGAAGATTCACAGTCATCCAGGTCATGGTAATCGTAAGTGCTGTATCGTAGCCAACTGGACTTGCTTGTGTTTCTTAGAGACGTTTCACCTCTCACCCAAGAAGCTTCTTTAGTTCTAAATGACTGGTGCGAAGTTGCAGGCTTTAAACCCCTTGTGAGGCTTCTCTGTAGCCTGTGATGGTTATTATGGAGAGTCACTTATGGAGCAACATTTCATCCACCACATATCCAACCACAAGCTTCATTACTTCTTTGTAGCTGCAGCTTTCAACGATTAAAATCCAGTTTTGGTTGTTTACAGCCAACCTCTTCAGCCGAGGAAGGCTCACCTTTGGTGGGGTGTATTTCCTGGAGCTTCACGTTGTTGTGCTGTCTATCGTAGTAGCTGTGGTGTTTCAGACTGGAGGTTTGAGGGCGTGTTTTTTGCAGTGGAAAGAGTTTCCGTCGGACTACCTGCAGCAACAGTGTTCTTGTCAACTTTCCTCTGGACAAAATCAAAGTAATGGGAATATTTCCATCTTCCAAACCAGCTTGCTGCTTTGTGACGTGTCTATGCATAGCAACGACTGCGAAAATTATTCCGCTGAAGTGATGTTGTAATCAAGTCAGTCATGATGTGATAACAAAAGTAACATCGCAGCGAGTTGTTTGGTTTTGGGATGACTGTAATATTATTAATCAAATTTTATTAGTAATTAGTTACACTACCCGTTACTGGAAAAGGTAACATTATACCCAACACCAATTGCGGATATGTTGAAACTTTTCTTTATGATTAAGCACAATTGGTTGTGGTTTGTTTTGGCTCTGAATACCTGTTTTTTATGGCAGAGTCCCTGCTGGATATGCAGCGATTTCTCAGCAAGAAAAACAACCTGTTTTTTGTTGTTGCTCTTGAACAGTTGTCTGCAGCTTTGCTGGTGTCGCCAATGTGTCACACCATCCAACATTCCCTCCACCTCTTGAAGACAAAGCTCATGTACTGTGTTGCTTTAGAAAAGTTGATTTGATAAATGCATCAGTGTACAAATGGTTTGCAGTAATGTACAATGCCAACATTTCCTTGTGGCGACTGGGCTTTTTATCAACGGCCATGTGTCAAACTTTATAATCTTAACCCGAGTTTAGTTTATGTTTTGCTCACGTGGGGCTATTTCTGAGAAAAGTTCCCTTAGCAGGTTGACCAGGCCGCAGTTGGACCAATGTGTCAGGCTGTTGTAAACAGATTTTAGTTTAATGTGGTGGAAAGTTGGGCCCAAGGAGCACAAGATTGGTTTGCCAAACAATTCTTCTCAAAGGTCAACTTTTTATGCCTCCACGGCGGCGATGGCCGGGGCCAGTGTTTTTGGGGTTGTCTTTCCATCCGTCCGTCCAGTTCCTCTGAATGCGATATCTTAAGAATGCCTTCAGGGAATTTCTTCAAATTTAGCACAGACGTCCACTGAGACTTAACAATGAACTGGTCAGAATTCCGAAGTCAAAGGTCACTGTGACCTCACAAAACATGTTTTTGGCCAATAATTCATCCTCTAATTGTGACAGAATTTCACTATTTCACTCAATAATAAGATAAAATGATGAAGTGATGACATTTTATATCCAAAAGTTCAAAAGTCAGCTTCACTGTGACATCATAATGTTCTGCAAAAACACTTTTCTGGCGATTACTCAACATCATAACTCAGGAACAGAAGGGGAGACATTTGGTCAGATACCGAACTGATGACTCTAATCTTGGGCGTCCACCTTAAAACTGAGCTGATTGTAAAGGACAGGGGAGAAGATGTGTGTGAAGCATTCATGTTCTCACAGACATGGATATAAACTGTAACAGAGGCATACAACAGCATGCAGTAATTCTAGTTTTCCCTGGATGTTCCATACTTAAAGGACTTACTTACTTAAGAACAAAGTAAGGGGACATTTTTTCGTGAAACTGCTGTTTTCGTGGTTAGTTTTTGGTGTGGATCCAAGAAACTGTGAATCTTCTCTAGCGATGCTGTATGAGTCTTTTAACATGGCAAGAAGCAGCATTTTTGTCAGTTGTGCTCTTGTATAATTCACCATGAAAAACTTTGTCGGGCGTAGCTGTCCTGTTGTCGTCACTTTCATTCACTGATGTTTGTTTTTGATAAATAAGCAGCCAATACATTCTTGGTGACATCTACTTAAATCTTACCCTTTGTTCTCTCTTTCTTCTTCCCTTCCCTTCTCTTCCCTCTATCTTGTCCCTGCTCTTCTTCCCCTCTCTTCATCTTCAGGTGAGCCTGCAGTGGCCAGAGAGAATAACTGTCTGAATGCTGCCAAGGCCTGCAACCTGAATGACACGTGCAAGAAGTACCGCTCTGCCTATATCAGCCCCTGCACCAGCCGCGTCTCCACTGCTGAAGTCTGCAACAAGAGGAAGTGCCACAAGGCCCTGCGGCAGTTCTTTGACAAGGCAAGGCACTTCTGACACGAGCTTATCAAAAAAAAAGACAGACAGAAAAAAAAAAAAAACACTAAAGCACACACATACTGGAGGTTTTCCAAACGACTGATATCTGATAAAAGCTGAATGTCCACCACAAAGGACCTGCTTCAAAAGGAAGAATGATTTTGAAGTGGATAAGTTAGACGGGTTGTCAAAATCACAATAAATAATCATGTGGGCCCTTTTGTTCAGGGTTTGCTTTTCCAGCGCCAAGCTTTGACATCGATTCAGTCATCAAACACAAAAGATGTTTTTGCTGTCTGTGCCATATTGTAAAAAATGATGTGAAACATTGTAATTACAACCCAGCTCCCATGATGTCCCTTTGGAATAACTTAACTGGGATTGCTTCAAGTCAGCGACAACATGAATAAATCGAAAACTACAAAGATTGCGTGACATTTTTAATCTTAGTGTGTATAATTTTGTTTTCTTTTTTTCCACTCATCAGAGAAGTTTGTGTGAACAGCCTTAAGCATCAAGTTTTCTTTGTGTTGGAGATAAAACTATGATGACATCCTTCTGTTGTAGCGCGACTGTGTTGTTACAGCATCATTTCACTCTAATACCAGAATTTATTGATGCTGTTATTCCACTGAAGCCATGTTAAATAGACAATGGAGACAATTTTGACATCTTTTGCATAGTTATTTATAAAATTCTCCCTATTGTTTCATTCCAAAAAAGTTTACATTTGCAGTAACCACTTGGCCATTTCCACTTGCAGCTGTAATCTATAATGCATGCCTTTACCTCAGTATTTGATGGTTTGTTTTACAAGATTAAACCAAGAGGTTGACAGAACTTTGAGCTTGAAAAATCCTCCAGCTCACATGAAGTGATGAGTTTTGAATTTCCAACAGAGGCAGGATGCTCGTCTATCAGGATCAGTTTGTTTGAAATAAACAAAGAAAATAGGTGGTAAGCATGAGCATGAGAGCAACTGTGGACAGTCAACAAAGAAAAGAACATCAACACACCTTGAGATCTCATCAACAGAACATCCAAGAGAAAGAAAGTAAAACAAAAAAACTGTCCAAAATAAGAATTAAAAGGAGTTAAAGTTGTGTTTCTTGTGCCACGCAGGTTCCTCCGAAGCACAGCTATGGCATGCTGTACTGCTCATGCCCGCTTAGCGACCAGACAGCATGTTCTGAACGCAGGCGTCAGACCATCGTCCCCGTCTGCTCGTACGAAGAAAAACAGAAACCCAACTGTCTTGAACTACAGGCCTCCTGCAAGACCAACTACATCTGCAGGTAGGAAACAACACCTTCAAAATGTATTCTTTATGTGCATTGTTCTGCATTTATTAGACAACAATTAAAGGGTCAGAGAGATGAGGAAAAGACCTACAACAAGGTCCCCAACCAGATGCAAATAGGGGACGCCAAGGTTTATGATTGACACCTTAACCCCCAGGTCTGTAGGACACAGCCGCTTTGTCAGTGGACCTACATGTCTATATATTAAGCTCTAGGTGAGCCTCCCTGGAACTGTACAGTTTCTGCTCATTATGTGCATACAGTCCCTTTCTAAAGTAAACTTACAACATAGGTAAAAGAGTTTGTTTTTAGGTTTATTTCCTTGGGTTTAGGCAACAAAAACAAAATGATTTGGCTTGATTATCACACGGTAAACAAACAGCAGGCTCACGGGTGAAAGTCCGGAGTTTGTTGGACACATCCACCTCCACTTCCACCCACTCTTTATACTACGGTAGATGCTGGCATTAAAACTGCCGCCACCTGGTGTGTATCATATTGCCAAGAAGAGTGGCTGTGTAGTTCGGTGTCTGATGCCAGCGTCCACTGACAAAGCGCTGGTATTTGAGTCGGGTTGTTTCCGGCTGCCGCTAAAAGTGATGCGTCTGGTGCATATCATATCGCCATAAAAGGTGCCTCTGTGTGTCGGTGTCTGACAGAGATATCACTAACAAAGCAGGGTTATTTGAAGAGTTGGGAGTGAGGACCATACCATAATGTTGAATATGTGCCATTGGGGATATACTAAAGGTAATGTTTAGACCATGGACTGTATATAAAGATGGACATTAAATTACAGCTCCCAAAAAGCTATCATCTAACTTGTACCAGGTCATAAACTCTGCCACCTTCATGTTTTACCTGGTCTCACTCTGAAGTCGTTGAAAACCGGTGCTTGGTTGGTGACTTCCAGCGTCAGACACAGATGAAGAAAGCTGTCCTTTCACGTTGGCTTGATATGCAGCTGTTCGTCAGTATTGTTTTATGGTGCCTGGCAGCGTCAGGGGGAAACATGGTGGGACAACAATGAAAGTTAAGGCGGCATAAGTCTTAGTAGGGAGAGAGGGTGGGCGGGAGTGGTGGTGGATGGGACCAACAACCACCAACTTTCACCCAGGAGGCCCGTGTTCGCTTCCCGTAAGATTGCAAAACCAACCTCTGTTCTTTTGTTTGGTGCTTTTGTTGTTGAAGGAAAAAAAAACACCAATATGCGATGTCGTACCAACGTAGTGCTTTTGTTTTGAAAGAGACGTCATATCTCGAAGTGGAAAGTCTATGGCCAAACATCGATATGTGACAAGGTCAGAGTGAGAATGTGTTGCCATGTTAGCAAATGTAACATGGGCCAAACTAAAAAGTCTACGTACACGTCAAATAACTTCCCAAAAAATGTTCCTGTCATTTTAAGAAGTTCTTATCACAGTGATGTTTGTTTAGGTGTTTAGTTTAATTAATCATTTCATGGTATAAAAATGGGATCTGACATCATGTTTGAAAGCTGTAATTGAATCACGACTGAGTCAGGCTGGACCTTAATACTGTGGCTCCGCTTTCCGATCACTACTGCACGGACTCTGGCTCCCAATGATGTCACCAGTGAAACATAGCAGCACCTGATCCGGGAAATTTTGGCTTCATTTTTGTAAAGCAAGAGGAAGTGGACACACATCATCCATCTTTATATACAGTCTGTGGTTCAGACCATCATTAGTTCTGCATCATAGCGCAGAGTTCAGACAAAAAATGCAGCTTTACTTGGGTTAGCTTTTGCCACAGTGTAGTCTGTCATCTGTCTTCATCATCTTAATAGAGTACCCTGTGGGAAGGAGTGTGGCATGCCCACATGGGGAGGGTCCCACAATGTGATTAACAACTACTCACAGGCAGGGACATGCCCCTCAGACACCTCCTTACACTGTATAGTCAGTATAGCCATCAGCACCAGCAGAATTACACTGTCTTCACTGCCTGCAAGTCTCAGATTCACGCTGACATACACACACACACACACACACACACACACACACACACACATAAAAGAGCAATTCAATGATGGACATCTGACATCACCCTTATTGGAGTGTGTGTGCATGTGTGTGTGTGTTCATAGAGTCTCTGGAGCCCACAGCCAGCAGTCTTGTGGCTCTCTGGGATTAAATGGAAGCATTAGGCTTCATAAATGAGCTCCATTTGGACGGTGGCCTCAGGTCTCCCTCCCTCCCTCTGTATCTACTTAACAGCAAGCAGCATGACAACTGTAAATTTATACCGCAAGTTTCTATCCATCCCTCCGTCTCTGTCTTTTTTTCTCTCCACGCTGCTGTCTATAAGTCAGACATACGCTCAGGGCTGAACAACAGGTCTCGCTGCAGCACAGCTTCCTCCCAGTTCATTTGTCAGTTAGCACAGATAGATTAAAGCCATGCATTTCCACAAGCTCCCTCACCAGATGTCAGGTGTTGGTATACTAGCTGCTGCTGACAACTCTCACTACGCACCGATCTGCTCCGCTCTGCTCTGCACCAGATTGGTGTGATTATTTAGATCACACTGTGAGTGCATATATGTGTGAGTGTGTGTTTGTTTTGGTACATGCTTATGACTATTCCCTGGTTGCATGTTTGCACAGAAAGACACTCCTTCACAAACTTTATTTTTGGATTGCAAACTGAAAATTTCACGTGTTTTTTTTGGTGAGGTTTTAAACACCAGTGGTTTTGGTGAGGGACTTTGAAAGCCCTGAGGGGCAAGGCAAATTTTTTTGCAGGCAGTGTTGGCCAAAACCAAGTGCGATATCTCCTCACGCTGTCTCCTGCAGAGGAGATATTATTGCCTATGTAGGAGATATTATCTTCCAACATTTTGCTTACTATCTCCACCCATTTTGCTCACCCTTTGCATTGCTGATATCTTATCTGCTACAGAGGAAAAAAATATAATCTATGTAGAAGATAATAGCTCCTAAAGATGAGCTAGTATCTTATCTGTAGGAGCTATTGTTTCCTTTTAGGAGATATCTCCTTATATTTTGCTCACCCACTTCATTCCTGACATCTTACATCATCTGACATCTACCTTATAGATAATAGTTCCTATATCTCCTACATACTGTATGAGATATTATCTTGAATGTAGGAGATATTATTTCCTTTGCACGAGATATTATCCTTAACAATTGCTTACTATTGCCTAGGGGTGGGAATCTCTCGGCACGTCACGATTCGATTTAATTCCGATTACGCTGGCAATGATTTCGATTATAAAACGATTCTCGATTCTAAAACGAGCCCATAAGAAAATTTACACTAGATATTGAAAAACATTATTGTACTAAAGCTGGGAATACATATCCAGTGCATACAAACTGTATTACTTACTGTGGTTGAGATGACTACACTCCATCAGTCTCCTCCGGTCCATCCTCCTCATCCACAAATCTCAACGGGACTCTCCCGTCCCTCATCGACCTCCTCGACATTTCTCCTCCAGTATTTACAAAACTATAACTGACTATAACTATCTATGAACTATAAAAACAGAACTATGGCAAAACTACGAACTATGGTGAAAACAGGGCAAAAAACACGACATAAAAAAAACTCAAAAGCTCTCAGCAAATACTATTACAACACTAAATATTATTTACAAAGAAAACGCCACCCAAACTCCACTAAAACTCACCAAAACTCCACTACAACACCGCTAAATCACTCCGACTTGCACTCTCCTCGTCAGCTGTCACTCTCCTCCTGCTGTGCTCACTTCCCTCCCCTCCTTCACAGGTAATGATGTCACTCCGCTTCTCAGCTCTCAGAATCCGTTGGAATTACGTCGATAGTGCGAATGGTCGAGGAGTTGCTGTAATATGAAGAATAAATATAAAAATAAAATTAAAATCAATTATGAGTTTTCCAAATCGATGCTCGCATCGCTCAAGACAGAATCTCGATGCATCTAAAAATCAAATTTCCCCACCCCTGCTATTGCCTCACATTTGCTCAACATATCGATGTTTTTGCCTATGTAGGCGACGTGGGAAATATTACCTTGTTTGCATGTGATAGTATCTCCTAAAGTCTTACCTACTGTCACCTCCCATTTTGCTTACCCATTTCATAGCTGACATCTTGTCTCCTATGGTGGAGTTATTACTGCCTACGTAGAAGATAATATCTCCTACATATGAGATATTATCTTGTATTTAGGAGATATTATCTTCTTTGTATGAGATCAAATCTAATGTTTTATACTATCTCTATCTTATACTTAGGAGGTAATATCAATCACTTATAAGATGAACTTTTTAGCCAACATTGCTCGCAATTTTTTTTTCACATTGCCTTTCAGGGTTTCCATATAAAGAAAAAAAACACTGAGTGTCAATGTAGATTTTTTTTTTTAGAGATATTTTTTAATATTGTTTAATGTTTAATTAATTAATTTAACAATTATTTTAATTAATTTAAGAGTTTTCTTTGATTGTTCTGGTGTTTGAAGTGAAGTCCTATTTATTCCTATTGGTCATAATAAAGTTTTGCTGACCCACTTCATTGCTGAGATCTGGGGTCGTAGCAACCAACAGTGCAGGAACAAGCTGTCAGATAATCCCACGGGTTATAAATATTTAATAATGCATTTTAAAATGTTGATATTTGTCTGAGAACATACATTAGGTTTTGGACCGACTCCTTGGTTCAAAATTTGCTCTCTGTTCTTTTTTTAGTGTGTAGTGAGGAATCATAGCCTCCAGGACATTTCAAGTGCACTTGGTTTTACTACCAAATACATGATTTAGATAATATGAACTAAACTAGAGGTCGGTTTACAACCTGTGCTCATCTGACCTTTCATGATCCCACTCTCATCCTAAGAATAAATATTCTCAGTACGGTGTTAACATTGCTGAAAGGACTGAAGCAACATATCCCTTTTCCATAAAGTTATTACAGTCCAGAAGTGACATTAGGAGGTTTTGTTTTGTGTCAAAGTGCTCCTATATCACACTCAATCTCACTTCAAATGGTGAATTCCTCGGGAATCCAAACTCCATTTCAATTTCACGTGCTGCTGCACCTGTGGCAAAAGTGTAAACAAACATTTGTGAAGGCAGTAAATGAAACAGAACAGACTTGGTGGAGAATTGCCTTTGGCCTCATTCATTCCAGGATATAAAGCAGCCGCAGCATACGTAAGAGGGTCATCTTACTCCACTGAAGGCCGACATTAAGAAGGCTAATTGCATTGAGAGAAATGACTGTCGGCGTATGCTCATTTGGACCGGGCATTTTGCTGCACATTCCAGTCACATTGGCCATCTGAACTTCTCATATAAAATCTATTGGAGCTATAATCATGTTTGGCTCTGAAATATTTTGGGATGTGTGTGTGTGTGTGTGTGTTGCAGGTCACGACTGGCTGACTTCTTTGTCAACTGCCAGCCGGAGCCTCGCTCGCTGTCAGGCTGTCTGAAGGAGAACTACGCAGACTGCCTCCTCTCATACTCGGGTCTGATTGGTGAGTTCTCAACTTCAACTTCAGCTTCAGTTTCTTTAAAGTGCACATCATTCAGAGAATCTCTGTATGCTTTATAAGTCAGGATGGATGCATTTTTAACAACTAAAACACAGACACAAACCTTTAAAGGTTAAGTGTGGAGGATTTATGGGGAAATATTGGCAGAAACAAAATATAATAAGTATGTTTTCTTTAGTTTACAGTCACCCGAAGATAAGAATGATTGTGTTTTTGTTGCCTAAGAATGAGCTACTTAAATCTACATAGGCAGCAGGGCTTCATTTATGGAGATCACCATGTTCACCACCATGTTTCTACACTAGCCCAGAGCAAACAATCCAAACACTGGCCACCATAATTAGCAGCCCCTCTGCAATGTGAGCAACAGAAAAACACTGATTTGTAACATGAAACTGTTTTATTCAGCATTTTTACTGGTTTAAATCACCAGGTCCATTTGTTTCTGGGGAGGAAGAGACCTCTGCGTATAATTTCGCTCCCGGTAACAACCTCTTGAACATCAAATCAATGAAATCTGCAAGTCCAAAATATCAGGCAGGCAAAACACTCTGCTGCTCAAGTCAAAAAGTCATGAACAGATTTTGATGAAATTTTCAGGAAAGGTGGATAATGGGACAAGGAATAGATGATAAAATTTTGGTGGTGATCGGTTGAAGCAAAGTGGATAAAATAATAAATAAAGTCTATCGTCTGACAGCCTCAGCAGCAATTCCAATTTCTAAAGATGGTGAAAATAGCGCCATCTGGTGGCCAGAAAGCACATCTAGTTCTATTTGTTGTAATTCTAAAGTTGAAATTAATGTTCTGTGTTGGAAAAAAATAAAGTGAAAAATACAAAAAAAACATTATATTCTGTGTTGGTACAAAATAAAAACGACATAAATACACCACAGTGTCTCCATGGTGAAGGCATATATAACCTAATAATGATAGTGATGGAAATAACCTAATTGTGAGGCAGGCTGCAAAGTCTGATGCAGAGCGGGAGGGAATATCACCTACTTGGCAGAGGTCTGCACTCTCTGAGTGCTTTTCTAGTCTATTCATTTATTTGTTTATTTATTTATGCTTTAAAAACTATAATAAAAAAAAAAGAAAACTGCATGTGCAAGTCCGGCAAATACGGAAGATCAAACTTGTAGCACGAAGTTGGTCAGTAACCTGTAGTAAATGTTTGCAACAAACATTTTGAGTTGTAATTTTACCATTTGCCTTTGTTTAACCTCCTGTGACCTAAACCTTTGTTTGGTGTGCATTTATAATGTCTCCTGGCTATTTGGGATAAGTAGGACCTGATAAGTATGACAGACTAAGCATTGTCTTTGAACAGTAAGTCATTTTGGGTAAGAAAAGAAATGATGTCCTTATATTCATTTCAATGCCTGAACATTGTTGTGCAAAAGCAAAATTGCAAACAGTGCAACATTTGTTCAGTTTTTTTGTAACTCTGCAGGTTAGGGGCCACTTTTCAGGTCTAAAACTGCCCAGAACTGTTCATTTTAAAGCCTGAACATGGCTGTGCAAAAGCAACATTTCAAATAATGCAACAAACCTAAAAGCCAAGTGATTTGGTCATTTTTTCGACTAACGGAAGTGAAGGGGCCTCGGCGATCGCCCACACCCTTCACTTCCGGTGATGCCCCCAGGGAATCGCTGTGTTGTTTACAAATATTTCGGGTAGAAAACCAGCAGAGTTTAGCTATATATCACATTTTTCACGTCACTATATCACCGTGTAGACTAATCTGATGTTTGTAAAGTCTATAAACACAATGATTGAACAAATGTTACTTTCTGTGTGCACGTTTTGTGATTAATAACATGGTTATTGTAGATTAGCTCGGCTAACCGTTAGCTGTTAACATTAGCCGTTAGTGGTGTCTGTAATAACCATAGACTGTATAACAATAAGGTAATAACTCAATAAACGGTCCGTGAATAAAATATTTTTTCCAGTGGATATCTTAGTTACAACATGATTGAGTTAGCAAAGCAGTTTTGGGTTGCTTTGTGTGGTATTTATTCAGTTATGGGAAATCATGATGTCTAGAAAGCATCAGTGGTTAAGTTGTTAAGCTTGTTTGCTGTCTCTATTAGGTAGCTGTATGTTAGTCACTCACTCTACAGCAGGAAACAACACTTCAAAATAAGAGCTCTGTGCTGGAAATTCACTGTACTTAAATATAAAGTGTTTTTTTTTTACAAACTTTACATGTTTCAGATTCACTTGCAGGTCATTCAGAATGGACCCGCAACCGACTTTTCGACCATGACTCACCAGTTGGGAACCACTGGGTTAGCGTATTGTGCTTTTGCTGCCACTAGATGGCACATGAAAGTGTCCATGAACGAGGACAACTGGTCTAAGTTCAGCAGAATGAAGTTTAAGGTGCTGCAAACCGAGAATTTAACATTCTGATATGAGGATGCAGGATCGTAGGAGGTTAAGTTTGTCCTACCTCTCTGATCATGTGACTACTTGTGATGTTTTTTAAACCGCTCAGCATTTTTTATGGTGATGTCACTGTGTTTCCAGATCTAACCACTTGAAATCATGGACAAAACCATAAGACGAGAGTTGTGTTCCCTTTCATCTAACTCCATCCTCAATCATTGCATGGACCGACCAAACTGTCCCCACAGCCCACTGTGTCCTCGCAGCAACAGCGAGCTGTCACGAAACGGTCCTCACAAGTCACTAAAGCAGACCACACATACACACACTGTCCACACAGTGCCAATTCATTCTGCCTACTGCAAAACAAAAAGGCCTGTTTTGGAGCGCAGCCAGCACGAGGGAACAATCCATTGGGGGAGTGAGAAATCACTGACTGAAGCTATTTACTTTCCCTCGCTGAGAGAAAGCCTATTCTTCATTCCAGCTTCTCTGCATTCTGCTTCCTGCAGAAACTCCACCACACTGCGTTCACTCCTGTACATGGGGAGGAGGAGGGGAGGAGAAATAAATGTAACAATGATTTCACTTTGTTGTTATGGCATTCATCATTTAACACAGACGGAGGATGATAACTGAGTCTTAAAGGGTTTAAATATTCCTTTATTCCTGACAGTTAGCAGCATGTTTGGGCCCTCAACAGTGACATTCACAGATTTCTTAAACAAAGACACATGAATGCATGAATAAATTGTTTTATCCTCTTGCTGCAGGTACCGTGATGACTCCCAACTACCTGCGCTCACCCAAAATCAGTGTGTCTCCCTACTGCAACTGCAGCAACAGTGGCAACAACAAGGACGAGTGTGACAAGTTCACAGAGTTTTTCACCGAGAACACCTGCCTCCGTGAGTTATCCCTCTGCCCAGCTGCCGTCTGACCACCTGTTTACTATTCTCTTCTTCTTTTCAACAGTACTTTAGTGTTATCTGTTCCTCTGAATGCTGCTGTCTCACTTTCTATTTTCACCCACTCTGCTCCGCTGGTCTTTCTCCCTGTTTTGCTCTTTTATCCTCTCTTTTCTTTTCTTGTCTCTCCTCCTCTCGCGCTCTCCTTCTCACCAAATATATCCCATTGCCATGCTTGCATTGTTATCCCCCAGCATTATAGAGAAACCAGTCATATTGCACCACCGTGTCTGAATGTGTGTGTGTGTGTGTGTGTGTGTGTGTGTGTGTCTCTCTGTGCTTGTTTGTGTTCGTTGTGTGTGCCTAAAAGCTGTAGCGGAACTCCTGCTCCAGATCTTTGACAGAAAGCGGCTTTTTCATCCAGCCCTCTTACACAACCACTTTAATTAACAACCCCCCTCAAACACACACACACACACACTGACTGTCTCCATCCCCCCCACACACACACATATATATGAACACACCTATTACCGGCCAGGATTCATAAGTTGCAGCATGCTCTTATTGTAGTGTGGAGATAAAAGCCATATTCATCGTGTGTTTGTCTGTAATCAGAGCTAATTCTGCTCCGTCTTGCCTTGATAGTACGCACATTGTCAGTCAGCCGGCTGCTTCCCTCCACAATACTCTTTAAGTGTAATGTGATTCCTCATTGATTTCTGTGCGGAGGTCAGAACAGAGGGTCATGGAGAGAGTGTCTTGCTAAAGGACACCTGAGCTGGATAAATGCTGGTAATCACTGACGCTTGTTTAAAGCACGGTTTTTGAAATCTAGTGGTAGGGATGCACCGAATAGGATTCTTTCAACAGATACTGATAACCAATAATTACCTGCTTTTTTAAAGCCAATAAAAAGAAGTGTATAACCTGTTGTTTATGTCCACCTGAGAGTAAGAAAGGTTAAGATGTAGTGAGAAAATATGGCTCATCTAATGTGCCATAGCTCTAGGGCTGCCCCCAACTAAGAATTTTCCAGGTCGACCAATAGTCGTCATTTAGGCCCATTAGTCGACTAGTCACCGGCATGTTTACGATATTCATTTAATCATTGAGTTATATATTTTGGGTGGGGGACCACAATTGTTTGAGTTCAATGTCTGCGAAAGAATAGTATAAGTGACATTGTTTGGGCTACATTACACGTCACACACTGAGCGAGCCGCCTGTTAATGACGCTGTGGGCTAATGGGCATGTACATGCTACTTCCATGTTTCAGATGATACGTCATGTTTGTAGTCGACCAATGAAGATGAGTTTACATATCACCTTGGGTTCGTCCTTCACCTTCTCATAATGATCCCACACTTTGCTAAGCAACCTTAACAAGCATCATCTTACTATATAATGACGAAAAAACTTTGTGTGTCTGTTCCATGTTTTTCTCCTCACTGACTTGGTCAATCCATGTGAAATTTGGCACAGTGGTAGAGGGTCATGGGAGGATGCCAATGAAGCAATATTACATCAATTGGCCAAAGGGGGGCGCTATAGCAACCCATTGAAATGTCAAACTTTGAATGGGCATATCTCATGCCCCGTATGTCGTAGAGACATGAAACTTTGCACAGAGATGCCTCTCCTCATGAGGAACACATTTGCCTCAAGAACCCATAACTTCCGCTTATATAGATTTTCCGCCATTTTGAATTTTTTGAAAAACACTTCAAATGGATCTCTTCCTAGGAAGTTTGAGCGATCTGCATGAAACTCGGTGAACATAATCTAGGGACCAATATCTAAAGTTCCCTCTTGGCAAAAGTTGGAAAACTTACTAAAACTGAGCTTCTATAAGGCAATGACTTTAACTATCTGCCTTTCAACGTGCTACCTCAACTACTAATGTACAGTTTTAGCCCACTAACTATCCCACTATTGGCAATGGCACTACTGTACTTTCAATAAAGCAATCGTACTATTAAATTCACAAACACTCTGTCTGAATACATTGCTCTTCTTAATGGGTTCAGTTGACTATTTAATCTGCAATTTCCTATGACCTGTATCCCAAACACACACCATGTGAAACTGTACGTGGGCAACTGTGCACTCAATGGGTATGGACTAGTATAACTTATTTACCTGAAATCCTGAGTGCAGAGCTGATCTTCTTCCAGGTGCTGTTTATCAGTATGTAGGCCTATCGTCCAGGACAGATGTATTAAATTCATAATTAAAGGTAAGACAGAGTGAGATGATGGCGCCCAGCGTTACTGTGTAATTCTCTGGTGTATCAGTAGAGTGTATAACCTACACTGCAGAGTGGAGTCTCTACTAACTGAAACAAACACTGACAGCTGACTCATATGAACATCTGCAGGTCAGCGTTACATCTGCTGTATGAAATGTTTATATCGTCACGGCCAGGTACTGTCTCACCGTCCCACAATAGACTAGCCTACAGCTATCAAGTAAAATCGCAATGCGCTATTGATTCTTCTCACACATTAATGCTCAGCTCAGACAAATAAGCACCTTTGTCCAGACACACGCAACCAGAGAGTAGTAGACTACTTGATAAGATGTCAACAGATTCAGTATAAGCATTGGTATTGTATTTTTCTGCAAACCATGGACACATTAAATGTTTCTGTTATTATGTAGCAGATATGTTGAAACTTTACGCTGGTTTACATTTTAACAACACTGTGGTTAATGTGGAGTTGGTTTTAAGCACAAAAAAAAACACTATGGTTAATGGTAAGCTTATGTTTTGGCTTGAAATACCCACTTTTGGTGGCACAATCCCAGCAGGAAACATAGCGATGTCTTGATAAAAATCAACTGCTTTTCTTGGCATTATCCTTGGTGGAAATATAGCAATGGATCGCTAAAAAACACCCTGCTTGGTTGCTGAAAAACAGCTGGCAAAAGCAGGTGGAAACACAGCAATGACTCTAGAAATCAACCGTTTTTGGTGTCAAACAGTGGTTCGTAGTGGTCTACAGCTTGGCAGGCGTCTTGCCTAGTTGTCACGCCATCCACCATCCCCTCCTTGTCCCAGTGACAAAATCAGCTCATACTCTACCTCACTTTAGAAGCACTGACATGACGAAATGTGCAAATCTAATGTGTCTGTGGTTTGCAGAAATGTATAATGGTGACATTTTCTTCTTGCGACTGAGCTGGTATGAGATCTATAAGCTTTGTTGCAGTATAAACAAAAAAGAATCCAATTCAGGAGATAAGATCTGTGCTAATACGCATGGATTAGCTCCTGAAACAAAGAGATTCTAACATGGATTATCATATTTATAATAGGGATAGAAAGGGATGAATAAATTGTCCATAAATAGTTTATTGGCTATGATTGATCTGGAATGGCGTGCGAGAGTGCACCTGTCGCCTCCGGCTCAGCAACAAAGTGTGATAGTCAGGGTTGGGTTTCAGTGGCTGCTGGATTTGTTTAGTACTTGTTTAGGCAGAGATAAGATAAGATACCACCCACTGAGCAAGCAACGTCTGTGGACGTCCAAGTCTAGTTGATATCATGTCCACAGACGTGATATCAACTAGACTTGGACATCCACAGACGTTGCTTGCTCAGTGGGGCATTTATCTATTCTTGTCAAGACGGATGAACAAAACATTCAGGTTGATGAGCTTATACTTTTACCACTTTATGTGGCAGATCAGCTGTCACTAATTTTTAAGTTGTATTTCTGTAAACAACTTGACCAAAGACCAGAATAAAACTTGGTGTCTGGCCTCGCCCTTTACTAAACTCAACAGCAGTGGGCATCAGACAGTTGGTTTTTGCAGTTCAGACCAACAGAGTCGTGACTCTTCTCTTGAGAAGCAATCGAGCCAGTTGCCTCACGTCACTCTCAGAATCTCCCAGTTCAAGTCATCTTTAACTTTAGTGACTTACAATGTTGAGAGTTGAACCTAAAGAGATTCAATAAGGGATTTAAAGGGATTGGATTGTATAAGGGGATTTGATATTGGATTGAGGTTTTATAAAATGACTGAACCTCAGTCCTAGTGGAAGTATAATCTTAAATTTGCTGCCGTTGGCTTGAATAAATTGCTAATGGCTAAAGACACTTCCTCTTCATGCATGTAAATGGAAACTTAAAGGGATACTCTGCTGATTTTCAAGGGCTGTATCAAAACAAAGGTTACACTATTGTAACCCTAGTTCTATTAGCAAAGGTAGGGCCCTGATCTCAAACCAAGAGCCTGCATTGGTCCACTAATTTGCATAGCTGGTGAATCAGGACGTGCTTACTTGAATACATGCGGACCCACAGTATATAGGAAGGCACACCTTCGCCCTATTCAGCGAGTGGTGTAAGAGCGACAGAGCCTTTAGGTAGAGGGCTAATAGAACTAAGGTTACAATATTGTAACCTTTTGTTCAATCTGACACAGGCCCCACCCGTGACTGAACTCTTCAGGTACAGTGCCTGGAGCCAGATGAATGATCACCCTATCGCAACATAACATCAACCCAGCCACAGCAAGTGCGTTTCCATTAACCCTAGAAATGCGCAAAACCTAAATATCGCAATAAAAAACTGGTGATGGAAACACCTACATTTCGAAAAAACTCTCAAATATCAAGAAAAAGTTTGGCGCTCTCATGAGGTGGTTTTTCAGATGTGTCGATATAGAAGTATATCACAGAAGTGTAATGGAAGCACTTTTTTCGCAGATATACGTCACCGGACATGACATTGGTGAATTCCTCGTTCACAATCCTCTCCCAGAAATCCTTTATCCTTAGCCACTGCCACACATAATGTCTTTGCCTTTGGAATACCACTCGCTCTCTTCGTCTTCGGTTGTAGACTACTGCAACAGCAGCAGTGGCAACCGAGATGATTGTTCCAGCTTGCAAGAGATTCGGAATGTCCATCTTACTTCTGCAAACAAAGTGGAGTCTCGCGGGACAAGATTTTACAAGAATTACGGCTCATACGTGAAACACCTTTTA